GTCTTAGCTCTTGTAAATAATGCTGCATTGAATAGGGGAGTATAGATATCTTTTTGAGTTCATGTTTTTGTTTCCTTCAAATAAATACCCAGAAGGGGAATTGCTGGATCATATGTTATTTGTATTTTTAATTTTCTGAGGAACCCCCATACTGTTTTCCACAGTGGCTGCAACCAATTCCCATACCCACCAAGAATGCATGCGAGGGTTCCCTTTTTTCACATCCTTGCTAAAGTTTGTTACCTTGTCTTTCTGATAATAGTATTCTGACAGGTGTGAGGTGATATCTCAACGTGGTTTTGATTTGCGTTTTCCTGACAGTGACGTTGAATACCTTTAAAAAAAAAAATTAAGGTATTCTTGAGTTCTGGGTTTTGTTTAGAAGTTTTATTGGTTTTATAAATTCATTAGTACTGATTTGTTCGACTGCGATAGATGTGCCTTGTGTTGGGTTTACATAATCATGGAAAAGTTAAGTTAGGGTCAGATTTAATTTAGACGATGTGAGTGGCTAAGATTGACTTTATTAGACTTAATTTGTTTTTTTAATTTCCCTAGTTAGACATGGAGCAGTGGGTTAAAAGCAACAGCAATAAACAACGTAATGAAACAATGGAAGATGTCTATCCCTAATAATCAAATTACATTGACATTTGACAGATGGAAGCAAAACATTTAATTTAGGTGGCCTGTCAGAGAGGATGTGTACAAGGTCAGGGAGTAATGATTTGACTGTTGCAGAGCCAGTCGGAAGCTACATCTGTTGGGGAACGAAACAGTACCGTGATGCTACCACTAGCATTTGCCGTCTAGGGCATTTACTTTACAGATATGCCCAAAGTAGAGCATCGGATTTGCTGAATTGTTTGCATTTACCACATTTAACAGCATACTTGAAATTATTACTGGACTTCCATCTGTTAAGTTGAGGGATAAGAGTGAAAATTTAAACATTTCAATGGGAATTTTCCTTTTAACTACCTGGTAAATACTTACTGAATTAAAGTATTTTCTTGCAACTACTATATGGACTGGATACCTACCTCTAGAGCCACACTTGGTCTCTTTCCTTCTACATAAGTGCTTTAAAAGTTACTTGTGTTGGAACTGTTAAATGATTTTGACTGAGGATCTCTCCCACAGAAATCTCTCTTGCATTATTGTAATTTTTCCATGTAATAATGCTCTTCCTCAGTGTTTTAGTCTTAGCCTTGAAAACAAAGTGCATTAACCTGAAGCTGGCCTAGTAGAGGCTTAGGGTGCGGACTGCATGTGTAAGCTAAAACAAGATGAAGGCTGGTTGTTGTTCATATGGCTTTTAGGCCTTTTAAAAGAGCTGTCAGAAGGGAAGTATCCCATGGTTTTACACTGATGTAGCTCCAAAAATGAAATAGTGAATTCAGTTTCATTTTATTCTGCCTGGGTTTCATTTTCATTTTTGTTTTGTTGTGTGTGTGTGTGTGTGTGTTTGACCTCAAAGCTTATTTTGTACACTTAGCTTTTAGTATGGCTCATAAGGGCTTTAGTATGTCTTCTTAGAGCCCTTTATAAGTATCTAGGCACTGTATTTCACCAAAATATTCTAAAGAAGATGAGCAAGGTTAGATCAGTTAGTTCATGAGAACTTATTTAAATGAATAGCTCTAATGTGTTTTGGTCACCCACCACAAGAGGAATTATAATACCAAAATCAATGATAAAATAAAGTAAAACAATTTAATATGATAGGAAGTAAATGAAATAAAAGGAAATAAATGAAAAATGAATTAAATTTCCATATTCTAAGCTCCCGGATATTTTACTGCTTTTTTCCCCCCTCATTGCATAGAAAGAGAGCATACTAGCAATGAAGAGATCTAACGGATGTTCCACAGCAAAAGTCTTCATCAGTTTATTTCTCATAATCCTATTAAGATGATGAACTGATTGTTCATTGGTTAAAATCTTAGTGATGCTGTAAGATTGAAAAAATAGGAATGCCTGGGTGGCTCAGTCAATTAAGCGTCTGCCTTCAGCTCGGGTCATGATCCCAGGGTTCTGGGACCAAGTCCCACATGGAGCTCCCTGCTCAGTGGGGAGCCTGCTTCTTCCTCTCCCTCTGCTTGTACTCTCACTCTCTGTCAAATAAATAAATAAAATCTTTAAAAAAAATATCACAGCCTTAGCTTTCAGCTTCATAAGTCTTGTGGTTTTCCCAACTCTCTTGTCCTTGGCTTTGAAGCTTCACTTATTTTATATATATGATGTGTGTGTGTGTATGTGTGTGTGTGTAATCATTTTGTGTTAGGTGGCTCTCTGCACAAAATGTGCTGGCATATTCCAAGAGTTTATGAACATAAGCAGTGGATCACATCTTCAAAGCCTACTGAACCACCAGATATTTATGTGGCCTTGGCTTTGCTCCATCAGCCCATGATGAAGAAGAGACAGGTGTTCTCTGTAGAGATGATGCACTAAGTTAGTGCCATAGGAACTTGACTCCGTCAACACTGTAGAGAGTTAACATTAACTCAGCATTTACCACGTGGTCAGTTCTATGCTGAGTGCTGTTCACGGATTGTCTTACTGATCTTCATAGTGGTCCTCTGAAGTGGGTACAGTACTGTTATCCGTCTTTTACAAATGATGCCATTGGCACAAATGAGTTAAATCATTTGTTAAAAGTCACAAATGTAGGGACGCCTGGGTGGCTCAGTTGGTTGGGTGTCTGACTTTGGCTCAGATCTTGATCTCGGGCTCCTGGGACTGAGCCCCACGTTGGGCTCTGCACTCAGCTGGGAGTCTCATTTCCCTCTCTCTCTCCCTCTGCCCCTCCCCCTGCTCTCTCTCTCAAATAAATAAATAAAATCTTTTTTTAAAAAGTCACAAATGTAGTCAAATAAACAATGGATACAGGATTTTAAAAAGTTAATATAAATAATGTCCTTCATTTGCTTTTTCCACTCAGCAGTATAGACAACATTCCCATGTGCTTTTATGGATCTACCTAAATTCTTCTAATGGTTGTAGAGTATTTCCCAGTATAGGTGTATCATAATGTATGTGGCCATTCCATTCCCATTTGGTAAACACATAGGTTGTCTCTGGTTTCTCACCATTAAAGATAATACTGTGGCAAGCATCACTGGTTATGAAGCCTCCCACACATGTGTTTTGTATGAAAGATTCTTAATACCAGAATTGCTGCTCAAAGAGTTTGTGTCTTTTAAATCTTTGTAAGTTAAATTATTTTTCATTAAATTCTTCTCCAAAAAGGTGGTACCAATGTGTACTCTGAAGTTCTCCCATTCATCCAACTTCCTTGTCAACACTGGACTTTTTTAGTTTTAAAATTTTTACCAATCTGAAAGGTGAAAAAGTCGTATATAATTAAAAATTATTTTCCTCATTCCTAATGAGATTGAACACATTTTTATAAGCTTTAACTCTGATTTTTTAATGTGGATCAGTTATATATTTTGCCCGTTTTTCTTTTTTGTTGTTGTTGAATTACAGGAGCTTGTATATGGAAATGAACCTATTCTATGTTGCTAATATTTTCACCCATCTCCATGGTCTTATTTATTTATTTATTTTTAGTAAAGTATAATTGACAAATAATATTCTGTTTCAGGTGTACAACATAATGACTCGATGTTTGTATACATTGCAAAATGGTCACCAGAGTAAGTCTAGTTAATATCCATTACCATACATAGTTACAAAAAAAACAAAAACTGTTTTCTTGTGATGAGAACTTTTAAGATAAACTCTCTTACCTTTGAATTTTATTTATGGTGTCTTTTGCCATGTAGAAGTCTTATGCTTACATGTTTTCTTTGCTGTCATTCCCTTATGGTTTCTCAACTTGGGTCCAGAGGGATCTTTTTTAAAACACAGATTTGATCATTTCCTTTCTACGTTTAAAGAAACCCTCAGGGGTGCCTGGGTGGCTCAGTCAGTTAAGTGTCTGCCTTCGGCTCAGGTCATGATCCCAGGCTCCTGGGATCGAGCCCCGCATCGGGCTCCCTGCTCCATGGGAAGCCTGTTTGTCCCTCTCCCACTTCCTCTGCTTGTGTTCCCTCTCTCGCTGTGTCTCTCTCTGTCAAATAAATAAATAAAGAAATAAATAAATAAAATCTTTTTAAAAAAAAATAAAGAAACCCTCAGTTGCTTCCCACTGAGAGGCAGTAAAATACAGTGCTTGAGGACATGGAATATAGACATTTTGCTTGGCTTGAAACCTGGTTCTCTTACTTCCTCGTTGTGGAGCCCTAGGAAGGTCAGGTACTTGTTCTGTGCCTGGACAGGACGGGGAGGAACTGCAAGTGGGTATGAAGTGTTTTTTCAGGGGAAGGGAAATATTCTAAAACTGGATATAGTGGTGGTTACACAACTCTGTAAATTTACTCAAAACTGTGGAATTATACACTTTTTAAAGTGGGAAATTTTGGTATGTGAATTATAATAAGGCTGTTCTAAAAAAACAAATGGGTTCAAAGCTTATTTTGGAGAGGTTCCCTTTATAAGTGTAATTGTAGACTAATGTAATTGATACTTTTTGGTTCTGCATAATATTCTAGATAAATGCAATAAAAAACTAGATAAAGTAATATATCCTTAATCTTATTCATTGGGTAAGACAGAGCATTGAAAGCTACCTTTTTCCTTTAGAAATTCATTAGGAATTAGGGTTTTTGTGGGTAGGAGTCATGGTGCTAAATCCTACATCTGAGGTTAAAGAGTGATTCATATACATGTTAGTTTGTTTTGATTTTTAGATATCAAGATCTTGGTAGTGCAGTCTCTGCATACACACACACACACACACACACACACACACATTTACATACGCAGTCTCCAAAATTAGGAAAGGTATCCATTTTTTTCTCTAATCCCCTCTATTCTGCCAGTGTGTGTCTGTTTTATGTGCCCTCCTAACTCACTGGAGTGCCAGGTCTTATGAATGAGTAAACATGCTTGGGATTCAGGCTGTTTATGTGTTCTTTTTGATTTTCCAGCACTTTCATTTGGACCCTTGGATGCCCATTGAGCAAATGCTTGAGACCTGCAAGTAATCTTCAGATCATAGCAGAACTGTAAGGCCTGTCCTTTGCGTGGGGAGGAGACAGCTCATGTTCTGTGGAAATGAACGGGGAGCAGCAGCTTGATGCAGGTATTGGTTTTGCTGAGCAGAATTCATTTCTCATAGTGCAGAATTCTCTTACTTACCTGTGTTGTCTGATTTGTCTTTCTACCACTGAACGGGAAGCTCTTTGAAGATATGAGTTCTTTCTCTGTCCCTAGCAGAGAACCTGGCACTAGGGGGTCCTCATAATGTTTGCTGAAAAAGCAAATAACTTTTATGAACAGACGTCTTAAAAAAATTTAATTTTGATAGTTATTTTGAATTATTTTGAAATAATTATAGATTCATGAGAAGTTGCAAAGATGGTACTGACAGGTCTTGTGTACCCTTCGCCCAGTTTCTACCATTAGTTACATCTCATCTAAGTATAGTACAATATAAAAGCCAGGAAATTGACCTATGTATAAAGTATATGTAGTTCTCTGTCATTTTATCACATGTAGCTTCCCATAACCATCACCTCAGTCAAGATACAGAACTGTTCCCTTACCACAAAGAGCTCTTCTCTACTACCCCCGTCATCTATCCCACACTGTCCCCCAATCTTCTCTTACCCCAGGCAACTGTTAGTCTCTTCTCCATCTCTGTGTTATTTCAAGAATGTTACATAAATAGAATCACATAGTATATGACTTCTTGAGATTTGCTTTTTTCATTCAAGATAATGCCCTTGAGAGCTATCCAAATTCTTGCATGTATCAGTTTATTGCTCAGTAGTATTCCATGGGTGTACTACAGTTTGGTTAACTCTTCATCTACCATAGTACATTTTGGTTGCTTCTGGTTTTTAGCTATTACAGTAAAGCTGCTGTGAGCAATCATGTACATTAAGATTTCATTTTTCTGGGGTAAATACCCAGAAGCACAATTGCTGGATCATATGTTTAATAAAGAGACAGCCAAACTACTTTCCAGAGTGGCTGTACATTCTTACCAGCAATGGATGAGAGATCTGGTTTCTTCACATCCCCCTCTGCCATTTGGTATTGTCACTGTTTTTCAAGTCATTTTGATTTGTATATAGTGTTTTTGAATGTATCTCTTTGTATGGCTGTTTAGTGGTTGCCCTAGGTATAACACTATCTATACATAACTTAGCATACTTGCTGGTGTCATCATTTTATTAATTTGAGCCAAGTGTGGAAACTTTACCTACTTTTATATCTCTTTACCTTTATAATTGTCTTAAATATTTCCTCTACAGACTTTGAGAACCACATCAGACACTGTTAAATTTTGCCTCAACTGTCAAACATACTTTAAAGTCAGAAGGACGAGGAAAATGTATTATATTTTCCAGTATTTTTACTCTTGAAATTGTCCCTTATTCCTTCCTGATTTTCTGATTACTTCTTCTGTCATTCCATTTCTGTTTATAGAATTTTTTTAGGGTTGATCTGCTAGTGATAAAATATTTTACCTTCCTAGGACAGTGCCTTAATTTCCCTATTAATTACTGAAGGATATTTTTGCTGGAAATGGAATTCTGGGTAGAAAATTCTTTTCTTTCATCTCTTGAAAAATACTGTGCCTTCTGGCCTCCATGGTTTCCGATGAGAAATCTGCTGTCATTGGAATTCCCTCGCCTCCATTCACCTTAAATTTCTCTTCCTGCTGTCAAGGTTTTTTTCTGTCTTTAGTTTTCAGAAGTTTGACACTTGGTGTGTCTTTGCACATATTTCCTTGGGGTTTATCTTGTTTGGGGTTTTCTTAGTTTCTTGAATCTTATGTCTTTTGCTAGAATTGGAAAATTTTCAGCCATTATTTCTTCAAATACTTGTACAGCCCTGTTCTCTTTCTCTTTTTCTGGGATTCTGCGGGCACCAGTGTTAGATCTTTTCTTGCTGTCCCACACTCTTTTCATTTTTTTTTCTTTCCTCAGTCTTTAATTGTAGTCATTCTTCCCTCTATCCTTTTTATTCTGCTAAGGGGCTTACTATGGAGTTTTCTTATGGTTATGTATTTTCAATTCTAAAATTTCTATTTTGAGCTGAAGAAGGATGAGGAATGGGAATAGTCCCAACCTAAACCACAACCCTGCTCTTCTAACCACGTCCAGTGGCTTGTCTTGAATAGTTAACTTTTCCGTTTGTTGTGTGCCTTCAGCTAATTTCACAACTTTGAAATAGTTGATTTTCATCATTTTTAGCCAGCGTTTTTGCTACTTTTCTGGGAGAGTGGGTTCACCGAGGTACTTACTCTGCCATTTAGGAAGTTTATCAGTGTTTTGTTTTAAATGTTATTGTTAACTCATGGATTTAAAGTGCATGCATGTGCATGTGCAAACACGTGCGTATACACACACATACACATATGTGATGAGTTTGATTCCATTGCTGTCATCCTTCATTTGATGATCAAATTGCCCCATTCTAGCAATGAGCATTCTTTCAGATTGGTTCCTGTGTTCTTTTGGTGTGATGTCATGTATCTTTGATAGTTCCAGTCCTTGCTTTCTAGGGTAGTAAGATTCCCAGGTACCTCTTGCACATTTTCTGCCCCAGACTTACAATCTACCATTTCTCAGGGAAACTGTGTATTTTTCTTTTTTATTGATAGTGGATATAATATTTAGAGACCGCAGTCTGGGTGCTGGGGTGCTCATTGATACTAGGTTGTCGTTTCTTGTAGGCCTTATCCATTGACATAACTGGAAACTACACGTCTTTTGAAGAGAAAAGAGTCCGATGGCTTTGTTTTATATTCACAATTTTAATTTAAAATTGCAGGGCTTTTACGCTTGTGTCTCTTTTCTTTTGGAATTGTGTTGTTTCATAATGATGTTAATATCACTTATTTTTACCCTATAATATTTCTATAATTTTTTCAACAGTACCAACATTCCAAGTATTAATATCAGTGTGAGGTTTAAAATTTCTTCATGGTTTTTGCCTCTAAATATATTCCACTGGGGTTTGCAGTCAGATATTATATTTTAATATGACATGAAGTAATCCTGTTTTCCTTGTGGTTATGTCACCAACAGGCATATTTGTTTCAGTTGGAATTTTTTTCTTTTGATTTAAATATGTTTCTAAAATGTTATAAAGTATCTACATAGTGATAAAGTCAAAATTATGTAACATTCCCATTTTCAATCTGATACTATTCATCCTTTTCATTCTTCCCTATATGTGCAACTGGTTTTTATTATTTTACTCTTCTGTTGTTCATTTAAAAATTATAAACAAGTATGTGTGTGACTACATACATATATATATTCATAGTCGTATCTCTTAGATACTGGAAATTATCCCACATCAGTATGTAGTAATCTTTCCCTTTTACAGCCATATGGATGTAGGGACCTTATTTTATTCAGCCAGTTCCTTACTGATGGACATTTGGGTTGTTTCCAATCTTGACATTACAAATAGTACTGCAACGAATAGCTTTGTACATGTCTTTGTATTTTTGCCAGCATATCTTTGGGAGAGATTCCTAGAAGTGGGATTGCTGGATCAAAAGGTAAATACATATGTATTTTGCTAGTATTGCCAAGTTCTCTTTCACCAGGGCTGTCATTGTGCTTTACCTGCTTAAGCACAGCCTTACCATAGAGTATGTTGTCAAACTTTGGAATTTTTTTTCCAATCTGATATCTCAGTGTAGTTTTAATTTACATTTCTTTTAAAATGAGTAAATTTACACATCTTCCCATATGTTTAAGGACCGTTTGCATTTCTTTTTGATAAATTCTCTTTTTCATGTATTTTGCTCATTTTTCTATCAGATTATTAGTTTCTTTCTTCTTGGCTTGTTAGTAATTTTTAATTTATGAGAGATTTTAGTTCTTTAATTCATTATATTTAATGTAGTCGGTGTTTATTTTTTTATTTGTAAATTAGCATGCTGTTTGAGGGAGAAGGTTCCTGGCTAAGGACCATGAGTGTTCAACCTTATTATGGTTTGGTAATGGAAATTGACTTTCTACTGACCCATACTTCCGGGATGCTTCCGGTGTAGTCTTTGTTGGCTTGTTCCATTTCTGTTGAAAAATTTCAAACAAGTAAAAACAAATGGAAAACAATTTAACAAACACACATGGATAAAAATGAATGGAAAACAATACAGCAAACACCCGTGGTACCTACTGTGAAGAATTAATGTTAACATTGTCCAATATTTGTTCCCATTTTTTTTATTCCTGTAAAATATCCTTAACACAAAGTTTGCCCTTTTAACCATTTTGAGGTGTACAGTTCAGTAGCATGAAGTACATTCACGTTGTTGTACAACCATCAGCACAGTGATCTCTAGCACTTTTTCATCTTCCCAAGCTGAAACTCTGTACCTGTTACACAATAACAACTCCCCATCTCCCTTTCTCCCCAGTCCTTGGGAGCCACCGTTCTCTTTTCTGTCTCTCTGGATTTGACTGCTCTAGCTCTTACGTTTAAGTGGAATCATACAGTATCTGTCCTTTTGCGAGATCCTGTCCTTAGGTTCATCCATGTTGTCATATGTGCCAAGATTTCCTTCCTTTTTAAGGCTGAATAATATTCCATCATGTGCATATACCATCTTTTGTTTATCCGTTTATCTGTTTATGAACACTTGGGTTGCTTGCACCTCTTGGCTCTTATGACTCTTATTGCTCCAAACTTTTGTGTACAAATATCTGAGTCCCTGCTTTCAGTTCTTTGGGGTATGTACCCAGAAGTGGAATTGCTGGATCATAGGGTGATTGTATTTTTTAATTGTTTGAGAAACCACCATATAGTTTTCCACAGTGGCCCCACCATTTTCCATTACCAGACCAGCAGTGCACAAAGATGCCAATTTTTCACATCCTTGTCAACACTTGTTTTCTGCTTTTTTGGGTAACGGTCATTCTAGTGGGTGTGAGGTGTGTCTCCTTGTGGTTTTGATTTGCATTTCCTTTATGATGTTGACCATGTTTTCATGTGTTTTTTTTTTTGAAAGAAATAAAACCTAATAGGGTTTAAGCCTCTTTTGTACTTCCCTTCTAATCCTATTTTCTCCTCTCATCTCCGAAGGTAGCACTGTTGAAGTTGATGTATGTTCTTCCCACCTTTGTTTTTTGTTTTTTTTTTTTAAGATTTTATTTATTTATTTATTAGAGAGCGAGCG